TGTGAAGCTGTGGAACGACTATAACCTCAAACAACAAAGAGTACAACAACAAGCGTTAAAATAAACAATGAGAAAAACCTGTAAAGCGCGCTAGCCTTGCTAAAAGTACCAGCTACGTATGTATGTAAGCAAATATAAACAAATTCCACTGAGCATAAGAAATCTACTGCTAATCTGACAGCTAACAAAACGATAAACATAAGCATGTGCGAAAGTTCGTGTTTTAGCCGCTGTTGATATCTTCGGGACACAAAGTACAATACGAACAGGAAAGTTCGTTAGCTCTCCACAGAGATGCAGCTAACTTACGCACGCTTCCTGTGTGCGCAATAAAAATTGAGGTGCAATATCTAACGCTCAAGTCTGTTTGTGGTGCGTTTGCACGTATGCTCCAAAGAGATTATGACATCTGAGAAAACTTCAACACACTGAGAAGTGCGGGTGGAAGCTAGTCTTGATTATCGATCGCTGTTCATATCAAATTTTTTTTCTGCAAATTTTGAGCAAAGCGCAGGCAGTTAGTACACTTAGGGTTATGAAATTGCTAAACCGGAGTGAAAACTACTTTCAGATTGCTGCATTTATTTTCATCGATTTTTGCAAACTGGCTGGGGCTGAGAGGTATGGAGGTATGTGAGCGTGTTGATTACGAAACACACTTTTGATGTGGGGGCAGGAAGATATATAACAAAAGGACGATGGTGAGCTTTGTCATACAGCAGGTTTGGGTGAAGTGCCGTTACGCCGGCAGTGATACGTAGGAGCAAAATTATTTAGAGCTGACCACTTTGTCCTCACAGTCGTGAAGAACGCCGATTATTATTGTATCGCGTCCCGTATATGCTCTTGACTTCCAGTTGTTTTTGTTTTGCTGCGCGATGTCACCTCTAAACAGATGCTCACCTGACTGCAGCTACTGCATAGGTGTAAGGACTTACATCCATCCAAAGCAAAAAACGCCGTCACCGCGCAAATGTGCCTTAGACAAAATGACACATGATGAGTTGAGAATGAGAAATGATAAGCAATTACCTTCACAAAACAGGGGCAGTTTTTTTGCACGCGCTTTCGGGCGACGTTTTCTGTATTCCTTCTCATCTCCAGAGTCGCCTCTTCCTCGGGCGCGATTACAAACGTACAATGTACATAATACAATTACACAATGTACATACAATGTAATGTATGACCTTGCTGCTTGTGCGTATGTGGCGTAACACAAGTTTGGATATGGTCTTTTTTGTTAAATTGAAAACCATGACTGAAGATGGATTTGAGAGTACCATCTACACTACTGGTATAGCCAACTTATTTCAAATTCATCCCATGAAGGAGATTTCTCTTCACTTACAGCAAAGTTTTGTCCACTGTCACTGTGTTGTACTTGACAATGCTTACACAGATCTGTCGTAGTGTCGCAGCGAAAATGGCACTCTGGTCAATAGACTTCACTTCGACCGTTACTTGAAGTGTTTGCAGCAGCTCCTTCAGCGTGCGTCTGAAGTCACCGAAAATTACAAATTATAGATCGGCAAATCAGCGAGTGCAGAATTCGAAAGTATGAGCGTATCTGTAGCAACTCGGTGGGCCCTAAGCACCTAGATTTACCCGAGATACCCTTGCGCTTGCCCGTTTATCACATACCTAGCCTACCACTTTCCCTAGCGCGTAGAGGAACAAATCAAACTACTAGCAATTTATTCTAATGACATCAAATAACAGAAATACTACTATACTATAACTAAACTACTAAATTTAAAAAAACCCAACACGGGACAGGGTGCGTCCCGTGCTACCGAAGGTGCGCGTCTACAAACACAAACAACAATCATGCTCCCGAGGTTTCACCTATACAGATTCGCCACCCGTCGCCGAATAACAGGCGCGACAGCCTCTCCGCTCCCAAAGTTCATGAGATCTTAATGTCCTAAATCTCAAGAGTTCCAAAAGTGGCTCGTCCAAACTGAATACCAAATCAGCAATTCCAGTCTAACATGAATTTCGATACGCTCAACCGCTACGGCGCAAGTGACATCAAAAGGCGGGAGCTAAATGCCAGGCACGAGCATCATTAAAAACATGAGAAAAAATTATCAATCGAAAACGAAAGACGCTGCAGTGACGCGCCGCCGCTATACATATATAGCCCTTTGGCTGGCGGCGCGCCAAGGCGAGGAGGGATCCAGAACGATTGCGGCAAGCGTTAGAAAGTACCGTAATCGTAGCCTGATAGCGCGCAGCAACCAGTGCTCTCAGCTTCTTATTCCAGGAGCGCTCGCATCACGGAGCCGCGGCAGTATCCGTAAGAGGAAGATTCTATGCGGTCTAATTAACAGGGAGTTTGGTCGTATGCGGGTCTAGTGCCCGGGGACGGGCAACGGCCACAGCGCCGTCTACTTGGTGGAATAAAACGGGTGCTATCTCCACCATAGGCGGCGTTGTATGTCCGGCATGTGACCGGAGAGGAGAACGAACTACATTTTGGGCCACTTCCGCGGACAAGTCTCTTTGCTACAGTGCTGCATATCATTAGGGACGAGTGGTCCGCAAAGGCTGCCCAAAATATCGGAGTTTGTTTACTACCCAACAGTTGCACGCGGGTAAATCTGAGCGAACTAAACCGTACAAAAAATGATTGAAAAGGTATCTCAGAAAATCCAGTGCTTAGGCTGCACCTGCACACCGCTCTTCTCTAATCATCTGTTAGACGTGAAAATCAAATCAAAAGAAAGAATCAAGTTTAAAATTCTTGCTCTCTTAGTCTAATCATGCCACCTCCACAAAAGGACGTCCCACTTACGTTGCACTTCCTCTCTTCAGCATACACTGCTCTCTTCACTGTTAATTTTACTTCCTTCCTCCTCTGTGCGGTGTTTCCTCCGCAGGTGCTTGTACAAATTTGAAAGTGCGAAGGGCTCCTTACCACACATGGAGCAGGGCGCGCGAATCTGCATAGAGGATACCTAGTACGTCGAGAGAGCATAACTACGCGGCATCTATACGCTGATATACGAGCGAAACAGTAGAAAAGATCCATCGGCGCAGAGGCGATAGCTTGGAGATGCACACAATTCGGCGGACACATGTTTGCTATTCAAACACTTGCTTGCATGTGTAAGTGTGCTCACAAGCTCTACCGTCGAGAGACCATAACTACGTCGTATCCTCACTAATTGCTGTTAGAAGACATTAGCAATTACATACGAGTATATAAACGTGTGAAATATGCAAATACACCCTTCGACGTGCAAATTGGGCCAGAATGCGCGGCGTATGCGGCGTACGCAGTGTACGCCGCGAACGCTTCTATGATGAAATATACCGAGCGTACGCTGCGTATATCACGTACGCCCGTACGAGGCACACTCTGGCTCAACCCTGTAGCATCACAGTCAGCGGAGAGTGAATAGCGTAGAAACGGCGCACGACATTTCAATACATTAAAGCATACAAAACTACCGGAAGCGTTATAAACAAGGCACTGATCTAGCATACCGGCCCCAAAATCTGGAAGACTCAGAGTTTGCTGAAACTCTGTATGAGCGAATTATTTCATATGCTAACCACAAAAATATTATTTGTTCATTACGGAAGCCTTATCGCGGGAGTGGGTGTACGTAAAGGTCAAAACCGTGTATTTAAAGCTTTGTGGAGAGGGTAATCTGGCGCTGATTACAAATATTACACTCATTTCGCATGATAAGTTCTCATTCGTGGATTTCTTGAATCCAAAGTGCTTTGAAGAGCGGAAAAGGGTTTATGCATACGCTGTAATCTAGCATCACATCAAAAACTACATCACTTCATATAACTACTGTAATCCCGCCAAAAAACTTTACTACGTAAAAAGCATGATATTTTTAATCAGCAAGTTGCATAATTCCAAGCGAAGTTCCATGAAATTTTCGGGTTTCATTCGCATAACATATACCCACCGTAACCGTGCGATAAGGGGCTACTGTAAGCAATAATACCATATCTGTCATCAGCGTACCAATTAAGTTCCAAAAAACAAAGAATAGAACAAAAAAGGTTCAGTTTTTTATGCTATCTCATTAGTTATTGTGACGAGCAGTAGAATTGCATCGTGCTTGGACCAGTTTCCACTTATTGACCGCTTCGTAATCATGTACTCCTGAAAAAGGACGATGATAGACGCAGACAACAGAAAAAAGCATTTGTGAAGTGAACACACGGCTGATTAAGATAACAGCAAATTTGCGAACCCAATGTCGAATTAAAAAGAAGAGATTTGATTGAAGTATCGCGTATCTCTTGATAAAGTCATACGATTACTATGCACGGTCCTCAAAAGGAAAGTAGTAGAGTTGCAGATATTAGACTTCAAGACGCAAAATAGAGTGCAAACGCGGGCGCGTCTTCAGAATCAGGGTAGGAAAGATAACGCGCTCTAAACACAATCCCTGCTCCAGTCAAAACAATCGCTCGTGAGGGTCAAACTTCAAACTACCGTCACTCTTTTGGTTGATTTACTACTGGGAATTTTGAAAGGACACGTTCAAGCTTGCTGAACAACGCGAATTCGAACATGTTCTTTTTCACTAATTGCTAATCGTACCAAAAGTGTTGAAACACACGCATCAACTTGTTCATCAAACGTACGCAAAGCATGCTTGTGCCTCTTAGCCAGAGAATTGATAGATGTTGAGTCTAAATAATTATCGTTTTTTTCGTCGCAGTTTCCCGGTAATGGGACAATACTCAAAACCGTGAAAGTTTACTGCAGGAGTATGTCAAGTGAAATTTTTATCAAGCAAAATCATTCGCCTTGCTACTTGTTAGATCAAATCAACTATTTACAGATGATATTCGTTTAGTCTGTAAACATTCTTGTTCAAGCTCGGAATTTTAAACATCTTGCACATCTCAAATCTATGTGACAGTGACAAGAACAAAAAGAACAGTCTAAGGAATTTTCTCGGAAAATTATCAAACATTTATTGAACTGTTATGCAATGACGAAATATTTGATGTAAATCATGCTTCTGCCATGATTTTTTCTCCTTCTAATCTTATTCCATACTACCTTCAGTGACTTTGGCTCCTTTCCTCTTGTAGCTGCAAATAAAAAAGAGTAAAATTCTTTTGACAAGCCTAACTATCCTAACCGTCTCTCGACATCCACTGTGTCAGCAGTGTTCATCGTCGCACCTCCAACTGTCTTCGCTACTACTTCTACCGTGCCAAGCACAGTGTCTACCGTCCTGTAGTCTCTCGTGAAAGTTGAGTCTACAGTCATTGGGGCGTCACCGTATTTGAATTTGAACAATGACTGATCTGTTCCTTCGATAGAACACCCACTTCGATTCTCTGCTCGTAAAAGCATGCACTCCTGGAAGTATTCTGCTAGTCCTCAAACTTCACCGCATAATCCGAGAAATGATTCTGCTTAAGTGAGCAGTAACACTGTTGGAGAGTGACATTTGTTGTTTTGTTTTGTGTTGTTATTGGCTTGTGATCTCTAGGATCTATTGGTATTGTATTGACCTATGCGCGTGATCTGGGCGCTATATAAGGCGCTCCATGCTAGCTAAGTTATTCGTTCGTTCGTCTCGTCTTGTCATCTGTTCTTATTCATATCCGGTCTACCAATAAATCTACTATTAGGTTGTCCGGAAATTAATGTCCGTTTTGAATTTCAACCGCAACAAGTCATACACTTTTCACCCCTGAATAGCTTTCAAGGTACCATTCGATAGAGCAAAGCAAGCTCTACAAGATGGCAGTCTTGCTTTAGCAACAGCTCTGAGCCACCTCGAGTTTCGAGCCAAAAACTAAAAAGATTCAACTACCTGAAAAATCGAGAAAATTCATAACTCAGTTCAAAAGAAACCTACAAACATTCTAACTTGTTCACGTAAACACTATCTACACAAGACATATATGTACGCCCAATGCCATATTTTTTCCTCTGTTAAAAATCGAAAAAACGAAAACTTTCATGCTTTTGCAAAAGTGATGCTGTGTCGTCCGCACATAAGTAGATGTATACTACAAATATGTAGAAGTGCAAACGCTGATTTTCAGCTTTTTTCTCGAGAAATTTGAATTTTAGTTTGGACCACCTGACTAATGAAAGCTATATTCGATATTTCTCGAGAACTAAAGCTTGTAAAGAGCTGAAAATTTACGTTTGTACTTCTACAGATTTGTAGTACACATCTACTTATGTGGGGACGACACAGCATCACTTTGGCAAAAGCATGAAAAGTTTCGTTTTTTCGATTTCTAACAGAGGAAAAAATACTGCAACGGCGTACATATATGTCTTATGTGGATAGTGCTTACGTGAGCAAGTTAGAATTTTTGCAGGATTCTTATGAACTGAGTTATGATTTTTCTCGATTTTTCGAGTAGCTGAACCTTTTTAGTTTTCGGCTCGAAACTCGAGGAGAATCAGAGCTGTTGCTGAAGCAAAAAAAGAGCCTCTTATAGAGCTTGCTTTGCTCTATCAAGGGTACCTTGAAAGCTATTCAGGAATGAAAAGTGTAAGACTTATTGCGGTTGAAATTCAATACGAACATTAATTTCCGGACAACCTAATATTTTACAAGTATCCCGGACCCACTACAAGTACAAGGACAAGTAGAAGACTACAACAAACACCAAAGCGTATCCTTCTCTGTAAATCCAGCTAGTATCTCTATACTTATAAGACACAAAGTTCTAAACTGTTACTATCTTTGGAACAGGAACTTTTGTGCGTTTACCGATAGGCGCCAAACTTCGCACACATATGTTTTCGACACCGAAGAAAATGGCTTTTTGCTTCGTTGCACTGAGCCCTTCTATCCATTTATCTTTCATAGTGTCTTTCAAAGAAATGAAAGCTTATCCATCAGCACTGGATTATTTCCATAATCGTGTAGGGGCGGTACAACTCATTTTAGGAGCGCATGCACTAACATACCCCAAGGGGAGGGGATTGCATCTCAAAAGAAAGCTCATATCCTAAAGCTCCAGATGTCTGGATTTTACGCTGTCTACCTATGCGTTAGCATTCCTATCATCGTCCACTACGGACATATCGAACAGGAGCGAGAAGCTGTACAAGCCGCATATTCCAGCTTTTTGTATGATCCCCTGGTGATCCCCAACCGTCTTTTCTTTGAAGTCATTTTTGTTTTTTCGAGATTAACAAGTGGATTCCAAAATCATACCGAGTATCTAACCCAGCACTGTTAAGCATGTTGCTGATAAGAACAAATGAGCTTTCGAAATATCGAAGTTTCCGATAAACTCCAACTTTCGACTTGTGATTCACGCCCAGCTAAGAAAAAGCTATGATTTTCACCAAGTGGAAAGTACAGCAAATAGCGGGCTAGAAAAGGATTTGAAGCGTTATTTTTACCCGTCATCTATGCCCCTTTGCATAACAATCTGCAGATTTGCACCTCTTCCCTCTTCAAGACCTCATGTCTACAAGCATTCCATGCCGTTACTAGACCAATCATTTCGGCCACGTTCTTAGCAAACCGAGGAGAGGAGCTTGCTCTCATCCCGACAGAGCTGAGATAGTCTACTAGTCTAAGGGGGCCTTCATTAACATCCCCACCGGGAGGGGACCACAGCTTAACAGAAAGCAGAAAATTTCATGACTTCAAAACATCATTTGTTTTTATCAGCAACATGCTTAGCACTGCTGGGTTAGATAATCGGTACAACTTTGAATAATCGTTAACTTCAAAGTGAGAAAAATGGCTTTAAAGAAAAGACGGTTGGCGCCGGGGATTATCAAGGGATCATACAAGCTGGAGTATGCGGCTTGTACAGCTGAATCAGGAGAATTGAAGTGGGATTCTTCAAGATAAGTGATCCAACCTGAAATGGGAGGAGAGGGGGGATGACGTGCTTCCTCAGTGCAATAACTGTGCAATTGATATAACATCTACCTCCTTCCCAGTAAATGATAGCCCGGACTGGACCGGGGAAGCCAGCTAGACAATAAAAGTAGAAATTGTAGACCTCCTTTCTCAGACTATGAGGCATTTCGCGCGATGCAAGCCACTCTCCGACAAAGAAATCAATAGGTGTGCTTGCCGCAGTCGTCGGATCCGCTACTGTACTTGCGCCAAGACCCTTACTGCCGTGGTAGGCTGCCAAACAAGGTGCACAAATAACTGCACTGAAGAGGACGTTTGTTTTGATGCTTTTCGACATCAGTTCGAAGTTACTGCCCTTTTCTTAACTTCCGTCTCTTTAGCTCCCACGGACGAGTTTCTTATGTTGCAAGTATCTGAGATATCACCCAAATTTCTTCGGGATTACCACTGAAAACTGACATGTACTTTATAAAAAAAACGTGCAAATCTTTGCTTTTAATTTAATCAGAAAACTCTTGACCTTCGAACGATAGCGGATGTGAAACTACTCATTTTTCGCAATGTACAAATCTGTTATAATTGGTTTAAATTTTTTCTGGAGAGTTGCTGCATACGTTTCCATTCAGTGACTTTAGGACCGCATGCATCAACACCCCCGCTGGAGAGGGGATCGTAGCTCAAAAGAAAACTTCTTATTCTGAAGCTATATACGTATTTTACGCTATGTCTACCTACGTAAGTATTCCCACCATCAGGAGCGAGAAGCTGTACAAGTTGCATATTTCAGCTTGTGTGATCCCTTGATGATCCACAGCGAAAGAACATCTTTTCTTCAAAGTCATTTTTCTTTCTTCGAATTTAGCGAGAACCTTTCAAAGTTGTGCTTTTGATTTATCACAACAGTGCTAAAGATGTTGGTGATAAGAACAAAATGACGTATTGGAGTCATGAAATCTGCAATAAACCACAAGTCGAAAGTTGAGGTTAATCTCGATATTTCAGAAACTCATTTGTTCTTATCAGCAACATGCTTAGCACTGTTCGGTTAGATAATCCGTACAACTTTGGAATAACTTTGGAATAATTTATCTCATTGATTATATTCTACGTAATAGTTTCTGTCGAGTTGGAAACCAACTTTTCAATCAAAAAATTGGAGTACCTCAGGGTGGTAATGCTAGCCCTATAATTGCAGATCTTACTCTCTCATATTTTGAGTATATCTTTGCCTGCAATATACAAAATCCAAATTTTCTATTTCAAGCATATCGATATATGGATGATATTCTAATCATCCATAACAAGACCCAAGATTTCATAAAAACAGCACTGGACAAAGTCTATAATAATGTTTTGAATTTAGAAACCACAAATCTTACAGAGTATGAATGTAATTTCCTAGATGTACACATTTCGTTAGAAATGATGTTATAAACACTAAACAGCATAACAAAACAGATGATTTTGATTTTGAAGTAATCAGATTTAGCCATGGGTCTTCATACATAAGCTCTATGCTTAAATGCGCTATTATTTATACAGAAGTTCTAAGAATATATAGAACCTGCACTGAGTTTGAAGACTTTTACGATAGAGTCAAAATCCTGATTAGGTTATTACTCAAACTTATGACAAAGAAATGATACAGTTAGGAATATTCAAATGTTTGACATTTAACAAATGCATTACATACAAGAATAAACAATTAAGCAATTTCATAAATGTCAAAACCTTTGTTTCTAATATAATCTACAGTATGATCTAATTATTCGGCCTTTGATCTATTTGAGCTATCGCACAGGTATAAAAGGCGACCCTGCTATGGTGTCATCACTCTTCTCCTCCTTCAACCACTCCTCCCTACTGATGAGCCTCGCGAGTGGTCTTATACAGTTCCCTGTCTAGGGGTAGAGGCGAAACAGGATAACTTTAGAATTAATTAATTTGGAAGCTTTTCATTAGCTTCGAAAAAAGAACAGTGATTTTGAAGAAAAGACTGTCGGCTTCCGGGGATCATCAGGAGATCATACAGAAAGTGGAAAATGCGACTCGTCATATACTATCGACTCGTCTCGCTCATATTCAATATGTTTGTAGTGAAGAATGGTAGGAATATTTACGAAAACATAGACAGCGTGTACTTTAGAAGTTTGGAGCTTCAAAATATAAAGCTTTCAGTTGAGCTGCGTTCTTCTTCTCGGTGGGGATATTAATGAGGGCGCCCTTAGACTAGTAGACTATCTCAGCTCTGTCGGAATAAGAGCAGGCTTATCTCCTCAGTCTGCTAAAAAGGTGGCTGAAATGATTGGTCTAGTAACGGCATGGAATGCTTGCAGGCATGAGGTTTCGAAGAGGGAAGAGGTGCAAATCTGCAGAGTGTTATGCAAAAGAGTAGATGACGGGCAAAATTAACGCTTGAAATCCTTTTCTAAAACGCTATTTGCTGAGCTCCTCATTTGGTAAAAATCATAGCTTTTTCTTAGCCGGGCTTGAGCGGTTGCTTGACTCAATCCATCTCGCTTATTTCAGGTTAATCTGCAGCTGGAAGAAGCACCTAGTCAGCTGTAGCTTCTGGCTAGGGAAGGATCCTTGTTCGAAGTGGCCTTTCCAAAAAAGACGCATACCTTCTTGAAGGACATCGGAAGCTGATTCCAAATCTGCCTTCATTAACTACGCAGCGCCTCCGCACAAGGAGTTGTGAGAACTATTCTAGCGAAAATTCAAACGCGCACTCAAAAGAAAACCATTTTAGACGTCTCTAATAAGCTCAAATGGAGTGACTGTTGGATCTCTCCAAAAGAATTTTCCACTTGCTGTCCCCGTGCTTGAGTGCGAAGTGAAAAGGCCACCCTTGATTTTATAATGATCAGGCGTGCAGCTTTTTACTCATAAAAGGGCTCGTAACTCCTCACCGAGAGGCGCTCCGCAAATATGGAGAACAGATCCGAAAATCTCTGTTCAAGGCTGCGTTCATACTGATCCCGAAGTTCGGGAACAGTTGCAGCACAACGCTCAATTCGAGCACTGTGCTGGGACTGTTCCCGGACTTCGGGATCAGTATGAACGCAGCCTAAGACTACATGCATCCACTCGAAAAAGCCACCTCAACTAATTGTAAGTATTCTTCCCCTGTGGTGGAGCTCAACGATCGTTATAGTGAGAGTATAGGTGTATCGTAACAGCTTTCTTTGGTAGTAGGCCCATGGAGTCTTCCAAAGTATGACTAATGCCTTATATTCTTTCAAAGTTACTGTTGTTTTTCCATGTCAAGGCAGACTATACACGCCTTCCACACTTTGACAATCAGCATTAATTAGGAAGCACGATATTATTATACCAATGCTTCACCTCTGCTCGGAGAGGTTCACACTGGCTCTAGTATCCGTATACCTTTCTTGTGATTGCATAATAATGACTTTGAAACTCACCGCGCGATGCTGAACATCACAAATAAATTGTAAACCACTGGTCATTCTCAAAATTTTTCCATGTAAGGCAGGCGCTATACTCCTCGAGGAGTATAGCATGGCGACGGGCAATCGTCAGTCGCTACGACTGGCGATCGCCAATATCGGCGACAAAAATCGCCGGTTTTACATGCATTTGATGCATATCGATCGTCGCCATGCTAACTCCTCGAGGAGCATAGCGCCTGCCTAAGATCGGTGATTGTAGAAGAAAAAAACTTCTTCGCGAAAGAACAATTGCGAATTTGAATGAATTACTTTTTCAACATCACTATTCTCATAAGGATAATAATCCCCATGGGCTGCATCTCTGTGCAAGAATCTTTCCAATTAAACGGGTAAAACCTTAACTAATCGATTATTTACGCGATCATTCTTTTTTGGCGTTGTTTTAACAGGAAAACAGACCTTTAGAGCGTTTTTGGAATAAATTTCATGGATCGCGAATTCAATTGTCAAACAAATACCCGACACTGAAAAGTCGAATCGGACGCAGTTTTGCGTGCCAAAAGCCGAGTGGACCCCCTCCAGGTGCCACTTTCAAAGAACCCACCCGTCAGATCCATTCGCCACTACGCAGGGTGAGCCTAGACGCTGCCAGCGTGCACTGTCAGAGATGTAAATCAAGACGTTGGTTGCAACTCGTTCTATGAATTTCGTGACAGACAGATATACACACACACGGATAGACGGACTCTTAGCGCTTTATTATAAGTCATGAAAAGTGAGGACAGTGCATGGAGGTTATTCCCAGGCAAAATGAACCCCTCCAGCAATAAACCTTACTTCCAGCACAACTCGCATCTACCCACATGTGAAGAAATTAGCAAAGAATAATTTGACTTTGACTTAACCCGAAGCACACTTAAATAAACTGTGACAGTATTGCAGTCGCAACGCGATTACTCAATACTCAATTGTCCATGACTCATCGTGCGCGCATTCTAAATGTGCAGACGATAGGACATTTCACCAATCTACGAAAGATGTATGGACTAGGCATTTGCGATCGGCCAGTGTTTAAGACACCTAGCAAGTTGCCAGATTGGCAAGCTGGCAGATCGTGTGGCGACAGAAAGCGTGTAGGTATGGTCAAGGCCTATAGAGCATCACGTAAAGCTTGGTAAGTTCAATGATACGGAAGCACTCGCACCCGGTGCGCAAAGTACAACATCCGCTTTGGCTGGGGAGTAGCCTATAAATTCGGTACATCTAGTTCACGCCCACCTCTGGAGTCAGAAGAAGACCTCGCTGAGGTGCTGGTGGCTCGTGTGAGAACATTTCTAATTCTGCTGCAGTGAGAAACAAGGATGGAAGCGTAGGAGCTCCATCAGGGCCTGAACCGACCCCAATCAGATCCTTGTTCCTGTAAACCTGTAAAGTTTTGATCAAAGCACTCGACTCGAATGCGATATTAAGATACTCACCGCAGGTGGTAACTCAATACTAAAGAAATTACATGCTCGCATTCGTTTTGATCTCGGATATAAGTAGGAAATCATTACGTAGACAAATAGTATTAAAACCGAAACGAAAATGCTCAAGAGGATCGCATCATTTTTACATGCCTGAAGTGCTCGATGTCGTTATTTTTTGCAGTAACGACCTTCGAATGCAAGTTTCACCTGCTCTCCCATTTTGGTGAGTGAAAGCTTTATGAATGTGATTTGAAAATGATGCTAACCAAAGCAAGAAGGCCTGAGGTACATTCTTATCAGTTATCTAGTTATCGGTAGGAAACAACTACTACAGATATACACCTCCTTTTACCACATAGGATAAGTGTTGATGCAGAATGGTGGTCTTGTGATGCTATTGAGTTTTTGAGAGGTCATTATTGATTTTGATCTTTAGTTTTAGCTTCGTAATCCAACAGGAGGCAGCCTGTAAGTATGACCCATAAGTAGCGCTAGCCGAGGCACCCGATATCCGGACTCGTGCATGAATGGCACGGTTTACACTAAGCGGTAACTCCTGCTCTTTTCTCTTATTCTCATCACATCAAGTTTTACCCTCCCACTTGGTTTCCATTATTTTAGTTGAGACTTCAGCCTTGACCACAAGTGAGTTAGGGAAACTGCCACTAGACCTTAAGATTCCGAAATTAGATTTAGACTTGTCAAATACCAAGTTCGCGCAAATACTGCCATGGGCGGTCATTACTTCAGATTTGTCATTTATTCCGCAATTTTTTTTGTGGTTTGCAAATATCTCCTATCTCCTACTTCATAACAGGGTCATTACACATCACAAAGTGCTTGTCCTTCAATGAGGCCTCCATAGCTGCAGTATCAACAGCGTATTTGCTTTGCGCCCGATTATCTCGCAATTCCTTAGCTCAGTTTTCAATGCCGTTTGCAATTGCTGGCAAAAGTATTTGTCATAAATCTTGACTTGCCATTTCAAAAACATTGTTCCATTTTTTACCTCTGACTTAAAGAAAATTTTGAGGCGAAAGCAAGGAAGCAAGCATCAGGAATGCGGTTGATGCATATATAATCATCAGTTTAACAAAAGCTTGTATTTTAAAATTATATTAGGTTGGCCCGAAAGTTCCTTCGTACCATTCAAAAACTCATAACGTCTGAATTCTTCAATCGATTTGACTGCTTTTATTTTTGTATTGAAGAGTAAGTCCTACTCTTTATAAAGATATCTTAGCTGCTTACTAATGGTCATCTGTTGCATAGATAGGAGCGATAGAAGAAAATTGGTCAAAATTCGAATTTTCTGTGTAGGGTCATAAAAAATCGGAGCAGTCAGTATTATAGGTTCTGTTACCTGCTATTTCTAACAGGGTGCAAATTTTGCGCTGACTGAGCGTTTCTATGAAAAGTTACGATTTTCCTGAAAAATGCCAAAACAAAAATTCGCCCTTTTCTGAAGCATGCTCGAAAATCGTAACTTTTTATAGAGACGCTCAATCAGGGCAAACTTTGCACAGTTGAAAAGAGCAGATAACAGAACCTATAATACTGACTGCTCCGGTCTTTTGCAAGTTTTCGATTTTTTATGAGCCTACACAGAAAATTCGAATTTTGACCAATTTTCTTCTATCGCTCCTATCTATGCAACAGATGACCATTAGTAAGCAGCTAAGATTTCTTTATAAAGAGCAGGACTTACTCTTCAATACAAAAATAAAAGCAGTCAATTCGATTGGAGAATTCAGACGTTATGAATTTTTGAAAATGGTGCGAAAGAACTTTCGGGCCAACCTAATAATTTGATACATGGATTGAAATAAAATGGTAGTAGCATTGAAAGAAAAGTGGCTTGTCCTTGGATGATCCTCAGTGTGGTCCTTGAGGCATGGGATAAAAGCGTTTACAGTTTTAGTCAACTGTAAACAACCAATGCTTCGTAAGGTTAGCTCTCGTTCGCCCAGTGCGAAAGTACTCAAATGAACATGTTAATGCAAGGTGACTGGTGTGCTTGATTAGGCTCACTAGAATGAGAATGAATGTGCACGTGTAGTTCAACAGTTAACCTGCTGACTCTCGTTCACAAAATGGGAGTTCCATCCCGGTGGAAGCAACGGTTTTGCAATCAACCCTGCATAGCCCTGTGAATGAACTCGCGAACCTCAGGGCCAGAACGCGAGCCTGTCGTGAGGTTCGCGAGCTCGCCGTCATGTCTTATGCCAGCATGCGGGGTGTATTACTACGGGCCCAGACGTTCCTCAGTACCCGATGAGTCTTCCTTGCTGTTCCGAACATGTTTGCTATAACCGACTTCTTGATGGACCAAAGGTGTGCTGAAGGGTAGTGGACCAAAATGTGCAAGATCTCAATATTTTTATAGTATGAGCCCGTGTTTGAATGAAGTCCTCAGTGTAGCAATACTATCCTTTGCTACCTTTGTGCACTGCTTATTCAAAGTAACAAAGTTAAACCATGGAAAGGGTGTGTTGACGTCAGAGCAGAGAAAGCGCAAATAATTAAGAAATACATCCTCAGACACTGCTCCTGATACAAACTACCACAGTCACAAGTGTTCTTACCTAAAAATTACCATGTAAAAGAAGTTGCTTGTAATCTGCATTTAAGTTGGTACCGCCATACATGAACTCGGTCATGCGCTTGGAATGTTTTATACGCACTGTAGACATGACCGAGATGATTACGTCATTATGCATCGTATGCATCCACCCTGAAGTTGTAAGCGATTCATCGAACACAGAGACGAGGTGCCAGTGCAGACGCTGTCGGCATCTTTCAGGTCAAAGTCACTCTATTCACCTTTATCACTTCCTCTTTCTCTCCCTACACGAAATTTCTTGACGCAACGGCGCTCGTCTCTACGTGGGATGATAACTACCTATACAACGAAAAAAAGATTTATTGCAGCATGCTAAGCTATTCCCAGCGGGAAATAAGGGAGCATACACTATGGCACCTAAAGACATGAATTATATCGACACATTGGGATCAAAGCTCACTGGTTTTTATGATGTACTTTTGTTGAACAAGATGTACATTGCTTGAGTGAGTTGACTATGTTAAAAATCAGCACGAGATAAGACAAGCAAATATGTTATAGAAGAATGCGAGGGGTGTGACAGTTATCCTGCAAGATAGAGTCAAGCGACAAACGCAGACTTTTACTAGGACTGTCACTAGAACAAGAGGAGACAGTGGTCGCACTCTGACAACTATCACCGGCGATGGTGATTTTGGATTTCTTTTTGATAATAACGGTGACTTCTTCAATCACTTTTCCGGCTTCAATGGCCTCAGTGGCTTTGGTGACTCCGGTAACTTCGGCGGAATTAACAGCATTTTTGGACGCTTAAGTATGGGTGATCTTGGAGGAATGGAAGGTTTTAATGATCTGGGCGGCAACAATGGTGGCGGACTTGGAGGGGAAGAAGGCGTCTCGAAGTCTCTTTTAGGAGATGGAGGCTCAAGCACCGGGGAATGGCGCGACTGATAGAACTTACCTAGCAATAGGTGGCAAAATTCCCGACTAGATATTTGCAGTTGGTGGAAACTGAGACTGAGACTTCACGGCTATACCACCACCACCACCACAACAACTACACGCCGTCCAGCCACCACACGCCGCCCAGCCACTACCACACGCCGCCCAAGTACCGCAACACACAGAACAGCTAATTTGCGTATCACCACAAAACGACTAGGGTGACCACCACCACCACCACCACCATGCCTGCGCCTGGTCGTACGTCCCACCTAGTCCATTACCTGGTCCAAAGTACAACCAAGGAAAATGCGCAAACGGTGGATATCCAAGCCCTCGGGGTTGCTCAGGATGTGCTTGACCATGCGGATATGGATGCCGTTTCTGTAATGAAAGGACATGCATTTATGCATTCATTTCATTGTGATACAAGGGAATGTTCAGAAATCGAAGTCCAATCCAAACATGCTGCACCGCTAGATGCAGCATAAAACGCTAACTCGATTTTGTATTCCATATCTGCTTAGACCTATGTGGGCGAAGTTTGAGATGTCAAAGGCCGCTTTCTGCTAAGAAATCATGCATGCAATGTGCAAATTCGGCAGTAAAGAGCCATGTTTGCTTTAATGCTGGGGCAAAATGCTAGATAACTTTGTGTTTATGAAGCCTAAGGTGAGCCGGAAATGCAACAGTGTGCTCATTTTCGCAGTGTTCACGTACTATTTCTTCGCAATAAAACTGCTCATAATCTCGTCCACAAAGGCGCTAATTGTAAGCATATATTGGCTGACTCGAGATCAGCGTTGAATGCTCCATCGAATGGTACCCAGCTGTTTGGATTGGCCACTTCGACTTCTGGCCATTACCTTGTAAGCTCATAACATTCATAACATTATTGCTATAAGCTGCCCTATAGCGATGTGGTCTACCGCTAGCCTACTACACTGTTATCCAATACGAAAAGTTTTGGTTGTCTGCCATCTGAAACCAAGTCCACTGGCAAAAATCAGTAAACATTTTTAAGAAATTCGCGCAGCCAACTACAGTATTTTTGCACTGGTTCTATAATAATAGGCTGGCAAATAAGATGGAGTTTATAGATCCAGCGCAAAACGAAACTGCTGTAGCGAATTTATCTCAAGGTGGTCGTCATCAGAGTCAAGCGTGGAGTGAAGTACGCCACAGGTCGTATCGTGAGGTCAGAAAAAAAGGGGGTCCTTATAAAGGTGATACTGATACTGATGTTAGCGATAACATGATATTCGTTGAAATTGCAGACAGGATGCTCATCTAGCACTTTAATGTTTTGGCCTACAATGGTATACGTGCAGCAAGCATGATAAAAAGCCCTTAAAGCTAAGAGCATCTTAATTAGCATGACAAATAACCCCGGGCGGAACTTCAGCAAATTCTGAGTTTTTCAAAAATTGGATACCCAAGCGAGATGGTTATTTTCGAACATGCCAACTTTGTTTCAGCGAGTTAACTACTTCTTTTTTGCGCTAAATACAAAGAACTACTGTTTCTTTGCACACATTAGGATTTCTACCTCAATAACATCCAAACTATGGAGTTAAGAACAAACCAAAATATTGTTTGTCCCATTTCTTGTTTCCAATTTCTCAGACTAGAGAAGACCAATCAGGCTCAAATCACTTTTGTGAAAGTTACGAGGATCAGGCTATCGAATATCCTTGTTCTTGCCGCCTTCCCTCGCGCTTCATGTAGTAGCGCAGACTTAGTATGTTACCGTAACACAACATTTTCGCAGTATCTCCATTTGCATAGATAAGAAAAACGATTTTATCTTTCCCTAGAAGAAAAAACTTTGAATGAAATTTTTCCTGCATTGAGAAGAGTTTTTACAATAGCAACGATGTAAAAAACGCAGGTACTTGCATCTTTTGAAGGTAAGTTAGCGGATTGTAACGCAACCCCTAAAAAGGTGTGGCAGCCACAGCTTTTCTGGAGTTGTGCCACACCCTATTAACTGACTTCCAAAGGAATTTTAGCGAACAAAATATATACCGTGCGACAGTCAAAATCATCTAGTTTTTATAAAAGTGAGCTGAATTTTCTTCTTTCCTTTGAGCGGTAATTCTTAGAAGAACAGCCACTTTAAGCGAGAGATGGAACAAATGTGACTTTGGCTGGCCCCTAATTCCATAGTTCGATGGTAAGAAGCAGGATTTATGGTATAGGCAGATATGGAGTAGTGCTTCCTGTTGAGTGTAAACAGAGGTAAGCTATTTCACTTTAGAAATACAGTTAACCATGTTTGAAAATGACCACTTCACTTAGTAGCCCTAAATTGAAAACCCTCAGAATTCGTCAAAACTTGGCCCAGAGGGGGTACTTGATATGATAATCAAGGATATTTTACTAACTAGCGACCCTACGGGTCGCTGTAAGTGGGTCGGGGCAGATACATTAGTATTAGCTTAGTTGGGACTGCATATAACACTATACGGTGTTCATATCTCCTCTCTAGAGCTAAAACCACCAGCAGAATTCAGTTATTTAATACAGCTTGCTTCTTTCGTTGCTTGCAAAGAAATCGTGTTTAGTCGAAGTGAACTTTCCAGATGAGACCCACATCTGATCCTATCTGCTTTGAAGAGCATTGAGCGCTGCTTCCAATTCTGCCTTCCAAATCTGCCATGCGCCTCTGGACGCCGAGTTATGGGCGTTTTTCAGGTCAAAAATTGAACGCAAAGCTGGAACAAACTTGCCCAAATTTGCTCATATCCATTGTTAAGTATCAGAGCTTTCGATGCAATGGATACATTTTGTCTAAAATGCTAATACTTGACATTGCTTCACCTCAGCGCTGAAAAGATTGCAACAACCGATTTGGCTTATTATATATTCCGCATTCATTCTTCGTTCCAAGAAAACGGTCATAACTCGGCGTCAGGAGTCGCTTGGCAGATATGAAAGGCGGATTTGGAATCAACGTGCGATACTCTTCAAAACAGCTTGGGTCTCATCTGAAAAGTCCACTTCGACTAAACACGCTTCCCTTGTTAGTTAAAATCAACGTAATCGCTTCCCTAAAATGATGAGCAATGCAGTGCATGCTGGGTCTTCATTTCGGAAGCAAGGGCAAAGCAAAGAATGACTGGCCTTGAAAATCGAACAATGGGGAAAAGTCTCAGGGATTGAAAGCAAAAGTGAGGTGGTTGAGGTCTTAGGCAATGTGGCGCAAATTCCGTGGAAATCGAGTCTCACCGTTTTCCATGAAAATTGTGGGGGAAAATAAAACTTTTCGCTCCAAAAGCTGGTCAGTCACAGACAGGGCCTGCCGGAGCTCAACCATCGAGATCACAGATTCCATGCTGGGTCTTCACTCCGAGAGCAAAGGCATTTTCTGTGGCGAAAATTCCGTCGAAATCGAGTCTTTCACCGTTTTTCATGGAAATTGTGGGGGGAAAACAATACTTTTTCCTGCAAAGGCTGGTCAGCCACAGAGAAGTCTGCCGGAGCTCAACCAGCGAGACCACAGCTTCCATGCTGGGTCTTCACTCCCGGAGCAATGACATTTTCTGTGGCGAAAATACTGTCGAAGTCGAGTTTTTCAACGTTTCTCATGGAAATTGTGGGGAAAACAAAACTTTTCGCTCCAAAAGCTGGTCACAGAGGGAGCCTGCGAAAAATGCATTTTTGCTGTTTAGTTGCTCTTCGAATTTGGATTTTCGTCAAGGTTTCACAAAGTGTTGAGCTCTGACGACTATTCTGAGAAGAATTACAATGCTCAAAGTTCAAATTTCATAAAGTAATCTGCAAAATGGCAAGGGAGGCAAAGAAATCTTTGGAATGAAGTTGGAGTAATGTATCCGGGGACATGAAAAGAAGTGGAACTGTGTATGTAAACAGATTGCTCCAGCCGTAAAAGACGTGATCAAACCGAACATACGGTATTTCATCACAATTCATCATCGCAGGCAAAGTCAAAACACTTGCCGTCATCGCTTGACGTGTATAGGGTGCGATCAATAACCAAATGTCGAGACAACCCTCTCCTCTCGAGCCTGTCTGCGGATAGGAGTGCACCGCTCCTCTAACTTTCTCATCATCCGTAACCTCTGCGAGAGAGCGTGATGTCTCGCGCGCTCTTACTGTCAACAACCCCCCCCCCCCGCAACGCTTAAGGAAAGCGTCGGGGTGGGTGAACGATGTGTAGTTTTCGTTGTCTCGCCGGATGTTTCCAGTTTATATATAAGAAGGATTATGCTTGTTAGAACCTTAGTGGCGGGCCTACTTGGGGCAAAAAATAATGCGGGAGGAGGGATCGTATCCACTGGTTGTGTGTGCCACACCTCTTGCTTGCACCATGGGTGCTAAGCGATATACCTTAAAATTCGTACAATAAGTCCGCCTCTCATATAAGTCCGCCCTATCAGATAAGTCCGCAGAAGAACTAACAGTTAAGTCCGCTTTCTTGACAACGAAAGTCGCCCTCGCGCCGCCAAAAGTCCTGCAGATAAGCCCGCTTTCTCATGCTCAGGATAGGCGAACTTATCTGCTGCGGACTTATCTGATAGTGGATTTAGAAGGACTTATCTGGTAGACTTTTGGCGGCGCAGAGGGCGTTTTTTCATCGATTTTTCGCGTCGAAACTGCAGATAAGTCCGGACTTATTGTACGGATTAGGGTATGTTCAATATATTGAATAAGACGCGTCTTATTAGCGGAAAAGCCTTTCTTTAGCTTAAAGGCAGCGTCTGGGCAAAATTTCGTGTAATTTCTTTTCGCATGCCTGGGCTTATTCCTCCCGCTGATTCTGAAAATGCAGCTTGGAGGCACGAAAACGGGTTTCTCCCGAAGCTCTCGATTTAAATTTTGTCGCCTGCCGCCAAGTTAAGACGCAGAGTCTTTGTGGGACCCTACGTCTTGACTGTGTGCGGTATGCCTTCTGGCTTATCGAATTAACTCGTCCCGGTCGCCAGGGCGTTCCGGTCGCCACTTCAGAATCGGATTTCTCGCTTCGGAAGCAAGTGGGTGCATTG